GCTATAAATTTAAAGGTTGTGTACAGCCATACAGCGGCGACGTTTACTCGATAGTCATTGTTCCAGTGAAAATTGCCAGCAAAAACCTTACAATGAATCACTCAGATAGCAGGTAAAAAGTTGAGATCTTAATTGATGCCTCTGCAAGAGCATGAATTTCACTCAACTCACAGGCTACACAACCTTATCAAAGTATAAGAATATAAATGAAATATTGGGAAATAATTTCTGGCAGAATTTCCCCAGCTCTAGCATTGGCCCATATGGGAAGCTGGTTGGGGAGTCCACCCCACACAAGACTGGAAAGGGATAAGGTGTCTAGGGTGACCAATTTTACTACCCAGGCTACACCTGGAGGAGGATCCAAGAAGCAGAGATTAATCAGAGGAGCTCAGTGCAGGTCAACACTACAAAGACAGGTTGATATGATCTACCAAATTTGAGTAACGTTGGTAGCATAACTCAAATAGATGTAGCTAAGATCTACTGCACCGTGTGTGTGTGTGTGTGTGTGGCGGGGGTTGACAGAAAAAACTCTCCCAGTGACTCCCCTTAATCTCCTCGTTCTGCTGGAGTACCGGAGTTGACAAGAGAGTGATCGGCGGTCAATTTAGTGGGTCTTAACTAGACTCGCTGAATGGATGGCTGGTGGATCAAAAGCTGCAGTGTCGATCCACCTATAGTGGAGATAAGCACTCAGATGCACAAGAACAGGAGGGTCCTGTATGAAGCTGAGAGCAGCTAGAACCAGCAGGGCAGGGTAGTAGTTTACTCTCACTTCCTGGGAGATGTATCTGGGTTTAGAGCAGTGAATAGCCGCCAGTTACCTGCTGGGAGCAGGGATCTGGGGCTGGCAAAGCCAGAGTGTCAGGGGAGAGCTGGAACAGTAGGAAAGGCTGTGGGGAAAACCAGCAAAGCATGGGATAGTGCAGTCTTGGCTGCCGAAGAGAGGGTACCTGAACTGGAACCTGGAGTAGAGGATGGGCCTGTGTTCCTCTACCAGCAACTAGGGTGCTGCATTGACCAAGCAGCAGAAAATAGATTGCCTGGGACAGTTTGACCTTGAAGAAGAGGCCCAGAGTAATCTGGCCACCAAGTTCCAAATGGGAAGCTGTAGCTCCCGGATGATTGCTTGAGAGACTACCAGAGGAGGGTGCGGCACTTGGAAGGAGCTAATCCCCAGAGCTGCCAGAAAAAGGTGATTTAGTGGCAAGCGGCTCCTGTAACAGAGACTTGACTTGCGAAAAGGGGGGCCCTGCCAGGTGTACAAACTTAAACTGAACCGAGGAGACTAGCCTGAGCCTACATTCGCAGCTGAACTCAAGCAGAGTGCAAGCGCTTTTCATCCTTAGTGACTGGAAACCCTTTCGCTTTCATCTCCATTTGCAGTTTTGTACCTCAGAGCTCTAGTGCGAAGCAGCAGGGTTTGAAGTTGCCAGCCCTGGCCTTCTTCTCTCTCTTGAGGGATGTTGCAAAAACATCCCTGCCAAGGCTGTTTCTGTCTGCTCTCAAGATACTTCCGCCAAGTAAACTTCCTGCTTATAGACACCGTAACTGGCCTCACTGCACACAAGCATTGTCAAAGTACAAGCCTTGAAAGGGAGGGTATGCGCCAACCTGTCTCCAGCCAGCCAATGGCATCGCTTTTCCTCCTGGCTTCTCCTCCATCTCAGTTTGGACTATGTCCTGCCAAGTGCTGAATGCTTTCCCCTTCTACTTTCAACAGTAGCCCTTGCAGGGCTGGGGCTGTAGAGCCTGGCTTTTAATACGTACAGTTTTTACTTATGTGATTTCTCCAAGTGGAGACATTTGTCCATATGAAAGTCAACTCATAAATCAGCAGACGGTGACAGGTATTAGGTGGTAAAGCAAATATGTTCTTTTGTTAAACGAATTATTTGAGAATTAATACACGCTGTTATGAAATAAAAGGGCTCCATGAGTCAGCTACGCACTCAGCGCAGAAATTGGGAAGAAGTGGACTGTGTGCATCTGCTGTCGTCTGGCAGAATGGAGTTTTCACCTTTCCAATGGGAATTTAGCAGCCACTTTCATGTAGAGTGTCAGAGGCAGTCTGCCTGGGGTCCCAAATGCTCAGGAGAGGGAAGGGGAGAGAGAGAATTGTGTAACTGACAAAGGGAGATCAGAACCCACCACTTCACAGGGCTAATGGAACAAAAGTGGCTAGACTTTCAGGGAATACACATGCAAAGTTAGGTTTAATAAAACAGTGTGGAGAGTGAATGCAAGCAAAGGCATTTTTTAAAAAGGGTAGACCAGTCAGCCTCACCTCAGTCCCTGGAAAAAGTGATGCACAGGGGCATCTTCAGAGCCAATGCATGATCCCTGGGAAATATCACACTAAGACTTGAGGAAGAGGGGGAGGTCCTGGATGATTGAAAAAAGGCAAATGTAGTGCCCATCTTTATGAAAGGGAAGAACGACAATCCAGGGAACTACAGACCAGTCAGCCTTACCTCAGTCCCCAGAAAAATCATGGAGGAAATTCTCAAGGAATCCACCCTGAAGCACTTGGAAGAGAGAAAAGTAATCAGGAATAGTCAAATGGATTCATCAAGAGCAAAGATGGGGAAGGTGGTGGACATGATAAACCTTGACTTTAGCAAAGCTTTTGAGATGGTCTCCCACAGTATTCTTTCCTCAAGTTTAGGAAGTATGGCTTGGATGAATGGACTGTAAAGTGGGTAGAAAGCTGACTAGATTGTCGGGCCCAACGGGTAGTGATCAACGGCTGAGAGTCTGATTGGTAGTTGGTATTAAGTAGAGTGCCCCAAGGATCAGTTCTAAGGCTGGTTTTGTTCAGCATCTTCATGAATGACCTGGATGAGGGATGGATTGCACCTTCAGAAAATTCAAGGATGACTAATGTAGAAGGAGAGGTAGATATGTTGTAGGGTAGGGATAGGGTCCAGAATGACCTAGACAAATTGGAGGATTGGGCCAAAAGAAATCTGATAAGATTCAGCAAGGACAAGTACAGAGTCCTGCACTTGGGATGGAAGGATCCTTAGCATTGTTATAGGCTGGGGACCGACTGGCTAAGTAGCAGTTCAGCAGAAAAGGACTTGGGGATTACAGTGGATGAGATGCTGGATATGAGTCAACAATGTGCCCTTGTAGCCAAGAAAACGAATAGATTATTAGGGTGAATTAGGATGAACATTGCTAGGAGAACTAGGCTATGTCTAGACTGCAAGCCTCTTTCGAAAGTGGCTTTTTCGAAAGATACTTTCGAAAAAGCTTCTTTCGAAAAAGAGTGTCTAGACTGCAAGCAGTACTTTCGAAAAAGCAAGCCGCTTTTTCGAAAGAGAGCACCCAGGCAGTCTGGATGCTCTCTTTCAAAAAAGCCCTGTTTGCATTCAAGAACGCCTTTTTTCGAAAGAGCACTTTTGAAAAAAGGCGTTCTTCCTCGTGAAATGAGGTTTTCTGCCGTCGAAAGAAAAGCCGCGTTCTTTCGATTTAATTTCGAAAGAACGCAACTGTAGTCTGGACGCAGGTGAAGTTTTTTCGAAAAAAGGCTACGTTTTTCGAAAAAAACCCTGCAGTCTAGACACAGCCCTAGAGAAGGGATTATTCCCCTTTATTTGGCACTGATGAGGCCACATCTGAAGTATTGCATCCAATTCTGTGGCCCCCAGTACATAAAGGATGTGGATGGATGCATTGGAGAGGGTCCAGTGAAGGGAAACAAAAATGATGAGGGGGTTGGAGCACATGACCTATAATGAGTGGGTGAAGGATTTGGGCTTGTTTAGTCTGCAGAAGAGAAGAGGGAGGGGGGGGATTTGATAGCAGCCTTTAACTTCCTGAAGGGAGGTTCCAAAGAGGATGGAGAAAGACTGTTCTCAGTAGTGATGGATGGCAGAACAAGGAGCAATGGTCTCAAGTTGTGGTGGGAGAGGTCCAGGTTGGATATTAGGAAAAACTATTTCACCAGAAGGGTGGTGAAGCACTGGAATGGGTTACCTAGGGACGTGGTGGAATTTCCATCCCTAGAAGTTTTTAAGTCCTGGCTTGACAAACCCTGGCTGGGGTGATTTAGTTGGGGTTGGTCCTGCCTAGAGCAGGGGGTTGGACTCGATGACCTTCTGAGGTCTCTTCCATCCCTAGGATTCTATGATTCTATGACCTGGGAAAGGGTTACAGGCAGACTGGAGTGGTTTTTGTTCTGATTTCAAAATGTTAAAACCCTGATAGTTTCTCTCCCTGTGATACTAACATGTCTAATTCTTGAAATGGAAAGATTTAAATAACCCCATTCTTCTCTTTGCAGCTCATGTTTCTTGTTTCCTTTTGGTAATTTCTCTCAGTTTGGCAATGCATATATGGTCAACTGCATCTGCTATTGACATCAGTGGAAAGACTGCCATTGGGAGCTGTACCCATAGCATAGGCTGCTGCAGTAGAGCTTGCTCGTCTGGTAATAGAGATTCCCATCCCCTGAGAGCCTCTGCGGCTTCAGAAGGTCAAAACCCTGCAGGAACATTGGGTCTGTGCAGGCTTTGTCACGTAGACCAATCGGTCCTTCAGCCCTCACAGAGAGTGTGCCAATCAAAGTGCATCCTTCGTGCGGTTCTGGCACCCGACACTCAATCAACACGGCACACTTCAGCCCAGAACCCATGAGCAATCTGCCAGCCTCAGCCTCCCAAGTAGGTGGGAATCACAGGTGCTTGCCACCATGCCTGTGCTATATAGACTTTGTATTGATCTTTATTACGAGTTTCTTAATATCCTCTATAATAAAATGCATCCTCTGCTGCGTCCTGTCATGTGGAAATGACCCTTTTCATGTCCTAACAGAAAAAACATTGTTTACCTTTAATTCCTTGTAGTTGTCAGTGAGGCGCATCGAAAAGTGCAGCTGTCCCGAGTACGGTGTCTTCTGGTTTCAAAGCTAGTGGCAGAGACTCCGTTTCCTGCAGGACCAGAAGGAGACCAATCACCTTGCAGCAGCTGCTGCGTCCTGTCATGTGGAAATGACCCTTTTCATGTCCTAACAGAAAAAACATTGTTTACCTTTAATTCCTTGTAGTTGTCAGTGAGGCGCATCGAAAAGTGCAGCTGTCCCGAGTACGGTGTCTTCTGGTTTCAAAGCTAGTGGCAGAGACTCCGTTTCCTGCAGGACCAGAAGGAGACCAATCACCTTGCAGCAGGACTTGTATTGGTCTGTGCTAATTGGTGTTACATAAAATCCTGCTCTTCAGGGGAGACCAGACCTTGTCACCAGCCTCTTCTCAAGATGGAGCTAAGATCACACCAGTCTCTGAGCTCATGATCTACCATAATCTACTGCCCCACCCTTCTAAAGAATCCACCTCTCTAATCAACTTGTGACAAGTAGAGGGATCCAATAAATCCTGCCCCCCCTCAAGCTTAAATCTTCCTTGTTTTCTCAGGGAAATCGCCTGTCCCTGTCCCTGTCCCTGTCCCAAAGATATGTTTTCCCCATCACCTGTCCCCTATGTGCTATGGAGGATGCAGAGGGAGAACTGAGGTTCCTTCTGAGTCCTCTTTGCACTTGAGAGCTGGGACTGGCCTTTGTACTGAGCATTCTCAAATGATTCTTAATGGACTTGTAATAAACACGATACATCTAGTTTTAGAAAAGGAATGAGCCCCGCTGCATTTTCACCTTGCACTGTAATGTGGTTTTCAACCCAGTTGCATTTTCACCTTGCACTGTAATGTGGTTTTCATAAACAGGGCTTTTGTTCTTATTCTATCAACAGTGATGTAGCACTTCAGCACCAGACTTCTCTGCGCCACCGCTGCTGTCCAATGCCTCACTTCCAAGAGAAGCGCTGTAATTAAAGTTACCGGGCAAAGTCTTTAATCGTGAGCTGAAGATTAACACCACGTAGGTAGGTCCTGCATTGCCCTTTGAAGGTTAAACCGCACTTGGTTTTTGTGCAGTGTAATTTTCATGGTACACCAGCTGCCATTTGATTACTATTGAATCCATCATTAAAACTCACAAGGTAGGAGATGAATTCAAGCTGTGGTTATGACAATGCATTATGATCATGGAGGGAGCAAGGCCATGAGGCAAGCCAACCTCAAACTATTTAAATATTTCCAAGATTAATCATGAGACACTATTTGTTTCAATCACTATAAAAGGGTCTATGCATCTTCTGAGGAATTTGCCCAGGAATTGGTTCTCAGCCCAGTAAATACTAAGGCATTAGTGAGTGCAGTTAAATTGGCATTCTGATGAATAAGCCAAGCCCACAGTCACACAAGCCTGTAGTAAACCTGAATGGCTGATTTATGACCTACGAGCTCTCATGCCTTTGGAGCATCTAAGGAAGTAAGATGCTGCCAGTGGAAAAAAAAATATCTCCAGCCCAAATAGCTGAGTTTTACAGCAGCAGCCTTTACACTGTCTGTAGCTGTTATGGTGGCAGATTTCTCTCTGCAGTGGTGGGCAGTATTGAGGGATTCAAAAGTCAGGGCTGCCGGGCAGAAGAATTACTTCACTGAAATAGGGGTCCCTCTTCCTGTGAGATCCAGCTCACTGGCTCGTGTCCCTGTAGGCCGCCACCAGCAGCAGTGCAGCTGGAAGAGAGGCGATACCATACTACACCACCCTTCCTTCTGTGCTGCTGCTGGCAGTGGCGTTGACTTCCGAGCTGGCTCTTCTCCCAGTAACAGCCACTCTCCAGCCCCTCCATGTGGAAAGCAGCACTGCCCCCAGCAGCGCTGCAGAAGGAGGGGTGTCAGTAGCAGACCATGCTGCATGCCTCCTGCGTTGCTGCTGGAAGCGGGGTTGCCACCGAAGCCAAGTACCTGACTAGCTGCCACCAATTCCCGACAACACCCCATAGAAGGCAAGGCCACTGCCGGTGGTAGCACGCAAGGAAAGGAGGCAGATGGAAAGTGGAGATGGTGCATCAGCAGGACGCTGCTGTCCTCCTGTCTCAAGGGAACAAGGGTGTGTCAGAGTCTTGGATTCCCCCAGCACACCCTGGGACAGACTTGTCTTCCTCTCGGGACCACCAGTATCAGACTCCCCACCCCATGTCGGAGGCGCTCCTGCCTCCATTTCCTTCATTTGCCTCTGACAGCTGTTCCTTAGCAGCTTCTCATTGTCAGATTTCTCTGTCTGTTTTGGGAGGCTGGGTTCTTCCATCCCCATTGGGTTGCATCTCTGACCCCACAGAATAGCAGAGCTCCTTACAATGGGTAAAGTATCCTCGGTGCCTGGGGAAGGGGCTTGATTCTAAATGGCGTAGAGGGGGAGGAGAGAAACAGACTCATCCTCCAACTGGGGCCAATCTCAGCGTATTTGGCAAGTTTCAAGAGGGTGCCCATTACCCCATGGCAGACAGTCTCAGAGGGAAGGTGGATCGTTTCTTCAGGGGTCCCGTTGCCTGACTTCTGCAGTGTGGCTTTTCTACTGGGTCCCATTTTCTCACTCTGGCATAGCAGCAGTTTTGTAGACCTGGTAAATCGCTCCCTGGCCAGCCAGTCAGTCCTTGACTGGGTCCCTGATGGACAGTTGTAGCTAAGCCTGGCACACCTGGACCTGATGCAGACGTTGACAAAAACTGGGGAAGGCGGCAGGACAGGAAAAATAGAGCAGTGTGCATGCTGTAGAAATGAGCCTGCGCCCCTCCCTGGGACTGAGACATTGTGCTTAAGGTGGATCTGATTCATTGATCATGGGGCTTGAGAAAGGGATTGTCATCGATTGTCTTTGTCTCTCTGGACTGGGACAATGTTCACTGTCTGGGCTGGTTCCATCCTTTCTGAACTCCTGATTCACCAACAGCTCATCGGGACGCAGACAGACTCCCCCTTGCCTGTTGTTGGCTTGAAAGCCCTGGGTCAGAGGAAGGGAATGACTGTGAGGACATGGAATCTGCATGCCAGAAAGAGAGAAGAGCTGATTCCCTTTGGGCCGCCTAGTTCTCTAGGAAGGAGTCTATGACTCTTCTGTTGGGCATGGGGCGGAGGATTTCAGGCTCTCACTGCCAAAGCCAGCCAGGGCCCTGAACTGATGTTCTAGCTCCTTCCCCCGTGTCTAAAGGAGGAAGGACCCAACATAGCACTGCCCCAAATGCCCTGACCAAGGGTGGCCCACTGGGGTTCAGTCTAGGAGAACAGGCTGGGAAATGGATTTCCAGTCTCTCCTTTCCAGTTCTCCCAAGTGCTAAAGTAAAACTGCCCCCTGCCCTTCCTGACCACACTCACCTCCAAGATATACTAGAGCCTCTTTATGGCTGGAGACTTTGCCAGCAAGCTCCCCAGCCGTGAGTCACAATTGGGAAATGGTGAAAACTCCTCCTTGTCAATAGCCCCCTGCTCAACCAATCAGCCTCAAGTCTCTGAGAAATGGGAGGCTGAGAGATCTCAGCAGATGCCCCAGGTCATCACAAGAAAGGATCAGTCTCAGAGCACTATTCCAGCCCCACCTCTGTGAGATGGCCTTCCACAAAGCCATAAGGATGAGGGGTGTCTCTGACATTGCACCTCTGTCCTCCTGATGTCAGGGTCCCTCTGTGAGGTCACCAGCTTCCCACCACCTTTCTCCAATAAGCTGAGATCCTGTAACAGGCCTTTGTGATGTCACTGCTGCACTTACCTCTCCCTTGCAAAGCTGATGCCCTGCCCCTAGCAGCTCCTTGGGACTCATTGATTTATCAGGATAAAGTGACTCAAATGAGCTACAGACGGACAATTGTTCATAGGCATGACTCAGCAAGCATTTGAGAAGAATGGGCATATTAGAGAGAAGCAGGAACTACGAGAGACGATAATTGCAGAGAAGCAGCACAAACAATCTAATAGATGATTGCTTGTGACTTGTGTGGTCTTCCCTGTCAATAGCCTCCTGCTTGGCCAATCAGCATTGGGACTTTGGGAGCTGGGAGGTGGATGGGGACTCAGCAGAACGTTCACCACTGGAGGAGATCAGTCTCCGATCACTATTCCAGCCCCACTTCTTTATGACAGCAACCCCCCTTCTTGGGGGAGGCTGGGAGGAAAGGAAAAGGGAGAAAAGAAGCAGGAGAAGAGAAAGAGGGAGGGAAGGGGGAAAAGGGAAGCCTAACAGGACAAACCTCTGGTGCCCCCAGTGATTCTACGGGACAAAGTCCTTGGTAGGAAATCAAATCACCTTGATGTACTGATTTCTATGCCTAGAATTCAGCTGGTACCAGGTGGCTCAGACTGAACAGGTTCCAAACCTTTCTGAGATTCTTACCTTCTAAGCAGGGACTACAAATCAGTAGCGAGCAAAGAGAAAACTTCGACACGGTTCGTCCTTGTGCTCACGTACATTAATCCTCGTTCTCCGTCCTCAAGGAGAGAGACCTTCAGAAGGAGCCTTGCTGCTGCAAAGCCACAGGAGTCTCTGAGTTTGCCCCTGCCTGGCAGCTCTTTCCTGCCTGGCTGATGTCAGAATCTCTCTATGAGGTCACCGCCTTCCCACCACTGTCCCCCAATAGGCTGAGATCCTGCAACAGGCCTTTGTGATGTCACTGCCACACCCACTCCCTTTTAAGGCTGGGTCCTGACCCTGGGCTAGCCTCTTTGGATGTCTGAGCGGTTTCCCCTGACTCATTCCACTTTCTTTAGCCCTCATTGGGCTCTTTGCTGCTCCATCTTCAATTTTTCAACATCTTTTAAAAAACGTGGCCCCTAAAACAGGCTGCAATATCCAATCTCAGTCTCACAGGTGCCTCCTTGCCCTACTCATTCCTCTGCTTATATGGCTTTAGCCATATTCACCCCAGCATCACGGCTGGGAGTTCCTGTTGCCCAGCATGACCCCTAAATCCATCTCCGAGGCACTGCTTGCCTAGATACAGTTCCTAATCCTGGGGGCAGGGCCTGCATGCTTTGGGGTGAGGGTAGGGCATTGCATTTGGCTCTGTGAAAATCTGTTTTGTTCACACTGGTCCAGCTTCCCGAGGGATCCAGATTGCTCAATGTCACTGCCCTGGCCTCAGCCTTATTTACCACTCTGCTCATATTTTGTCACCCACAAATTTCACCAGCAGCGATTTCATATTTTCTTCCAGATCAATGATAATTATTTAAACAGCTAGTTCCTGAGAGCCTCTTTAGACCCCTAGTACCAGGCATCTGCCCTTCTGTGAATCTTTTCCAGTTCTACAGTCTGCTTTTTGAAATGTGTCACCCATGACTGGTCAGAATATTCTGGGTGCAGGCGGTCGGTGGACGTATATAGCGGCACAATGGGATTTTCTGCTTTATTTCCTCTCTCTTTCCTAATAATCCCACACGCCAATCGCCTTTGTGCTTGCTGCTGCACAAGGAGTAGAAGCTTTCGGGGAATTGCCCATGATCCTTGTGGTGTGGTAGCAGCTAATTTAGAACCCATTGTTGTATATGTATAACTGGGATTATCTTTTCCACCGAGCATTAATTCACATTTCTCAACGTTGAATTTCATTTGCCATTTTCTTGCCCAGCCACCCAGCTTTGTGAGATCTCTTTGTAGCTCTTCGCAGTCTACTTTGGACTTAACACGTGTGCAGATCTTTATATCCCCTGCAAACCGCGCCACCTCCCTACTCACCTCATTTTCTAGATTATAAGTGAATACGCTGAAGAGCGCATGTCTGTACCAGAGCTGCCCCAGCCATAGGATGGTTCAGGATGGCCGTTCCAGGGCCTGTGCTTTGGAGAGGTGGAGGGCCCACAGCAGCCACCCCAATTGTCCTATGGATGGGAAGGTCCCCCATATGGGGGTTAGTCTTCAGGGGCAAGGGTGACCTGGGGGATCAGCTGGGGGATTACCTGGGGCCAGCAGCAGGGGTCAGGCCCCTGTGTACTCCCCACAGTGGCATGAGCCATGGGAAGTGGAGGGACATATGCAGAAGCCTGCTTCACTCCACTGCCTTCTCCCAGTGGGGCCGTCCCCCTTCACTGTGGTGCTGGGTAGCAGAGCGACCCGGTCCCGGCTGGCTCCGCTCTGTCAATGGTCTGGCTCAGGGGAGCAGTGCACAGCAGGCTGCTGGTTCCTGTGGCTCCTACCACCAAGGTGAGTGCAGGGGCTGGACCCCCTGTGCCAGGCCCCCCACTTATTCCCTGAGTTGTGCCAATCCGGGGGCAAGACTTTTGGAAAGGGAAGCTATGGGGGTGGGAGAGGGTGGAGAAGGTGTGGGAAAAGACAGAGTGGGGTGGAGCAAAGGTGGGGCTTGGAGAAGGGTAGCATGGACTACACCGAGGGCAGAGCAGAGGTAGTGTGGGGTAGAGAGGGACTTCGTCCCTAGTGGTATGTAGGGGCTGGGACGGTCCTGCCCAGTGCAGATTTTGGGGGAAGCCACTGGTCAACTTCCTCCTCTGTGAGTACCTGTGAGTCACTTGTCTGTGCCAGAGCTCTCAGCTCTTTTAAGAGGACAAGGATGACTTGAGCAGCACTGACATTTGGAGCAGGAGGACAGAGATCCTGGAGCACCAGAACTTGGGCTTGGTAATTATCGATATCAGCAGTTTCCAACCACTGGTCTGTGGACTGGTGGCATGCCTTGAACCTACTGGCTGCCTGGCCATGGCAGATCTGGGGGCCAGGGTTTGGGTACACTGCCCAGCGCCTCCCCTCCTGTCTCTTACACTGAAAGATGTACCAGAAACCCAGTTCAATCAGCCAGCTAACCTGGGTCTGCAGCTGCTTTGTACTGGCAGAGCCTGCTGCTAAATCTGTCCCCAAACATGTATAATACATTCACCGCCTTTCTACCACACCAGATATTTTTCAAAATTGGTGATGTTTAAAAACTGTTTCCTGCTGGTGTTGTGTGTTTGCTCATTGCATTTATCCCATCCTTGAGAGTGGATTAGTCAGTGTCATTCACTGCTTCTGGTCAGTTTCATGTCCTGGGCTGTGTCTAGACTACATGCCTCTGTCGGCAGAGGCATGTAGATTAGACAGATCGGCAGAGGGAAATGAAGCCGCGATTTAAATAATCGCGGCTTCATTTAAATTTAAATGGCTGCCCTGCTCTGCCGATC